CAGGGAATGCAACCAGTGCAAGCCATCACACAGCACAGGGAATGCAACCAGTGCAAGCCATCACACAGGCTCTCCGTGCTGAGTTACCGCTGGCGCCACAGTAACGGTGGTTTTGGTTTTGAATTATGCTAAAAACAGCCTGGTTCATCAAACTTCAAACACACATCCTGCTTTTTGAAGATGGATGTGACAGATAAGGCGGTAGCTGGGCTGTAAATCTGTGACTAGCAGTCAATCACTTTTTACTACAGAAGTCCAGTCCCCATTCATACAGGCAGGTTCTTCTGACATAACCCTGCCAGGGCTGTATGTGTGGAGACTCCTGCCTTGGGTGGGGATGCCCTCCAGGGACACTCCCCGAGGCTGAGAGAAAGAGAGATCCCTACAAGCATTGGCATGAGTGACCTACATCAAATCTCTACTTAATAATTATTTCTTTTTTGCTAGCTTTAATATAATTGCTTCAATAATTACTTCAATATAGTGCAGTGTTCTATCTTATACTATACTACTAGCAGTTTTAGCTTTCATATTGTGTAAGTAATTTTGATTAAGATGTTTTGTCTGATCATTTGTAATAATAAATGATTCATTTTATATAAATATTCTCGTTTTTTCAGTCCTTAAAACCTGCAGTACAAAAGTGGTTCAATCACACCTCTGCAATTCCTTAAATTTAAACTGTTGACATAATCCAAGGTTAAGATTGGATTCAGCCACACCTGGACTCCTCTCTGAGAAGGAGTTTAGAAAGCAAGAGAGTCCTTTCTGCACCTTGTGACTCAGCGGTAGGACTTTTTAATAAATTTTGTCTAAGCTTGCCATTCCCTCCTGTAACAAGCTGGCAGCCCACCACCAGCTCCCTGCCCCTGACAGCCTTCAGGGAACCATCAGGATACCTGAGTGTTAATGTTATAGGGGGAATTTCTTGTTTACCTGTGCAGCTTCTTCCATCACTGCTTGTTTCATATCCCTCCCCACAGTAACACCTGGTGCCATTCCTGGTAATGGCACATTTGTATTGGCAATTCATCTGTTGGCATCTGGGGAGCATTTCTGTAAACAGTAACAGAGCAAAATGTTACTAAATATTTTGATTATTCCTGCATTGCAAACTTTAGAAACTTTTATATACATATATATTTAAGTGCACCACCACTATTTACATTAGCTGGAAATATAACACACACACACACTGTAGAATGCTCGTTATGAAAACTGCATTTCAGCAAGTTAATAAATGAAAATCAGTGTTTTATTTCTATCAAAAGTTGCTCACAAGCTTATTATCAAGGTGTAGTGTTGCTCTGCTTAAACATCCATATTTGCACATCAGTCATTTTCAGTCAAAGCAATGATTTGGAATAAAAAAAAACCCAAAACATACCAATGCTGAAATGGTCAGATTTTAATTATAAAAAACCTCCAAGGTTATGAGAAAGGTTTCAACATCTCTGTATTTCCTATTCCTCATATCAATTAATTTTCTAACTTTTTAAAGCTTGTTTTGATTTACTGATACACACATAACCTTCACAGCAATCAATGGGAATACATTCTGCCTCAATAACATAACATTGGACATGTAATGCTGGATAAACTGTGGACATTATATATGTCATTACTGCTGATGTCGCTCATAGAACCTATTGCTTAAGCACACATCATCAGCACAAGGCATGATGCTAACAAACTGCAGAAATATTGTAGAACTATAGACTGTAATGTTTTCCAGCATGAAAGAGCACAAACCAAACAAAATCCCCTCCAACACTCCTCAGCCTCAAGCTTTCTCACCCATTTCAATAATTTTGCTGATAAAAAAGCCAGTATTTTAATGAAAATTATTTTTCCCTCCAAGAAAATGAGAAAAGGATTGAGAAAAACAGCTCAAGGAGTTGCTCTGAGGATATTTTTCAAACCTGTATGCAGATGGATCAGAAAATAACCTGCAAATGGACAGAGAAAGTTTCTGCTACAGGGTTGCCTTTAAGTAACTGGGTATGACCTAAGGAAAAAGAGGAATCTGTATTTTAACATGTGGGCAGTTTTAATCTGTCTGATCATTATTCATCAAGTTCTACTTGGGAGTGGAATGAACATGAATATGAAGAAGAGCTTTTATAAGCATCTGAGCCCTGGAGCTTCCATTCTGGAACAACTGCTGTCAAAATAAAGCTGAAGTTTCGGGAGAAAAGTGGATGTGGCTGGCACCCAAAGTTACTACTTACTATAATGCAAATATTCTAAAAAGAATGTGGTTTCATACAATTATCTCAGCGTATTTCTCAGGATTCCATGCACCACACAACCTACAGACTGCCTAGAGGTTGATAAACCACACACTGTCCAAACATGCCCATTTTCCCAGTGGTTTGTGGTATATTTCTGAGCCTTTTTGCCCCTGTGTACAGAAGGATAATGAATTTTCTGGCTGTAGCTGCCTTTGTTGTTTTCCTGCCCCTAGTCCAGTCCTTAAATCTGCTATGCCTTTCCAAGAACAAGTCCCACACAGAAAGTAAACCAAGGAACTTCCCTAAAGGCACTCTGAAATGGGGCTGCATGCTGAGATGTGGAGCTGGAGACAGATGAGGTTTATTTTATTTTATTTTATCTGTTTATTTAATGTCTATCTGAACAAAATCAACATGTATGTTTCATTTTATAAGCAAATGTGGATCAACAATCCTTTACAACCTATAATTTTCTTCCTCAAATATTTGTCTGATGCTGTACAGCCAGGAGCTCTTATTGGATGAGAACTATTTGACTCACAAACAGGACTTGGTTGTTTGCACTCTTTCCATAATGGATGCAGACAGCCCACAGCTTAAACCAGGATAGTAGGACCTGCACACAGCCAGTAAAGCTGGAGGACAGCAACAATAAATTGGCAAGTGAGATCCATTGAGGGAAAATTAATAAATAACAGTTATTTGCTCATATTTTTCACAAAAACTATTGCATTTCATTGATTTAAAATTATTGCAGTATCATGTGAGTGGCTTTTAACAACAAAATGGTTTCATTTTCCTTACAGTAACTATTAAAAAGTACTTTGACAAGGGCATTGATTCTAACTGGAGGTTAACAGCAGCCAGCCAGGAATTCTTCAAATCCACCAGACATTCCCACAAAACCATTTAAGAAGCACTGTTGGCTGCCATATGCTTCTGACTTCAAAATAACAACTACCCCCCACCCCCTGCATTTTTCATCAGATTATTTCAACTGTATTTTGCATTTTTATTGCCTGTGTGACAGTCACCTTCGGGCCCCAGAATATTTTTGATCTTTTACTAATCTGCAGGGGAATCCTCAAGTGGAAAATCAAAAAATACAATGTAGAGGGTAAAATAATAGAATAGAGTAGAATAGAATAGAATAGGACTATTTCATTTGGAAGGGACCTACAATGATCATCTAGTCCAACTGCCTGACACTTCAGGGCTGACCAAAATTTAAAGCATGTTATTAAGCAGCCGCCAAGTGCCTTTAATAAATAAAAAATTAAATAGTAAAATAGCAAATCTATTTTCTATTTTACTAGCTGTAATACAGATCCTGAAAACCTTTGGAAGAAAACAGGAGTTTGCTTGCCTCTGGCAATATTTGAAATATTGAAGGACATGCTGTGGAAGAACAGTGTGTACGTTTGTGGATTGGTTAGATTTGTAACAGGTTTCTTGGGAAGTAAGGAGGCAAAGAAAAATCATCAAGCAGAACACTGATATTTTTAAACCTCCAGATAGGACATTTAAAGAGATAAAAGACAGGGACTGTCATTTCTTGTCCTTTCTAAAATCCCACATCCACTTTGGTCTCCCTTTCTCGACGACAAATGGTTTACAAAGTACATAGGCAGTGAGGAATGAGCATCACTGAGCTTTTATCACAGCCACAGAAACCTCTGAATTTGTCAAAGCAAGGTATTTCTGCTGCAAGATTTAAAGGAAGAAGCTGCACTGAAGGAAACAACAGGAGAGAGCTTTATAGCTCTCAAGCAGACCCACAGTTCAAGACAAGGAGCTGCAGAGTAAGCCGTGAGGTTTGCAGAAATACAGGGTAGCAGAAGTAGCTGTGAGTGCCTTTAGGATGATCTATTTTCTCCAAGCCCAGGGAGTAGTGACAATTCATCCAGTTCTGATTTAGGTCAGTTTGTTCTGTGTTTTCTTTCTTCCACAGGAGACATGAAGGGCAGCATTTTTTACTTCCCCATGAATGAGCCTCTCTAAAGTTGTGTTCCACATCTACCACAAAAGCCACCCGGCTTTCTCAAAGGCACCCATGTCAATCTTATGCTTCCTGACTTCCATGTTCCTCTAACTCCCAAGCATCCAGTCCCATGGGAGAGTAGTCAGTCAGGCAAAGATGCTGCTGATCTCATCCCCCTAAAGTGATGCACCTTTGACAATGACTCAGAGGAGCTGTAAGCTTCCTGGACAAACTGCTCCCACAGGATTTCACAGCAATAAAATCCTGGTTTTGTTATTCCTTCTGTGTGCAATGAAATACACTGCTTATCATAGTTCATTCAAGATGAATGATGTAAGGAACTACCTTCTCTTGAATGGTTTTTTAATGAAAGGTTTTAAGCAATTGATCTCACTATCCTTTTTGTCAGTTCCTCCTGAGCTGACATGAGGTTCACAATAGGTTCACACCAGGTTCTCATGCTCAGATGTTTTGGCTGTTTCTATTAAGAGGAAAAGCAGTCCAGCTAGCAGTTTCTTAATACTGAAATTTTTTTTTTTTTGGCTCTTGGGCACTGTCGAACAATAGATTTACCAATATACCTCAGTTTTTTTGTCTTTCCTCTCAGGAAAGACAACCAAGGCCAGGTTGTCTGGGGGCCCTCCTGCTCAGGGTTCCTGAGCAAACTCATCTAGTGGAAGGTGTCCCTGCCCATGGAGGGGTGGGGTGAGTTGGAATGACGTGATCTTTAAGGTTTCTTCCAACTCAAACCCTTCTGAGACTCTATGATTCTGTATGATTATATGAAAGTACATGCAGCAAAATGTCATTATTTCTGAGCCACTTGCATGATAATAAAAACTTTTGGCTGTTGTGGGTTCCCAATTATGTTTCCTAAGTACATCTGTAACGTATAAGTCCTGTCCTACTCTTTTTGTAATGACAACATATACTGGAGACTACCAACAATATTTACTCTGAATTAAAATTTACTGATTAGGTAATGTTGATAACCTGACATAACACAGAGCTGTTGTAAATAAAAGAAATTGGCTGAAGTTTACTAGTTGGAAGTGCAAGATAATATACCATGGGAATAACGTCAGAGCTTCTGTTGTCACTTCAGGGCTTTACAATTTGAAACAACAAAGGATCCTTGTCAAATAGTTCATCAGAGAGTGACTGAGCTACCAGTGCAGTGTTGTCTGGGAAAAAGGGAAATGCATCACTGAGAGCACTGGGGTAAGTATTTCCCATAGAGATAGTGTGGATGTCAAGGCACAGGATGCTGGTGAGTGCTTCCCTTCCAGGAGGCAGCTCCTTGGAGCTCTGCACACCCTGATGGATATCTGGGGGATAAACTCAGACTTGAGCAGACTCAGAGAACAGCCTCAGGGATTAGCAGGGGAATGGAGAGCTGCAATCTGAGAGGAGACTGCAAGTTTTTGTGTTGATTAGTGCCAGGAGATGAAAATGAAGAGGAATTATGAGTGCTGTCTATGAATATATCAGAGGATCAACAGCGGGGAAAGAGACAATTTAAGCTAAAGGGCTATTGGCAGAAGTACAAATGAGTATAAATTGCCCATTAATAAATTCTGGCTGAAAATGAGAAGGTTCTTAGCTATTACTGTAATCAGGTTCTGGAACTCCTCTTTGAATGGGAATAACAGGGACAGAAAATAAGTGCATGCTTTTGACACGGATCATGATAGTTCTACAAAAAAAAATAGCATTTGGAAAGGCCTCTGGAATACTAGAAATAATTTTCATGACCCAGGAGGTTCCTTCCACTGTATTTCTCAAGCAACATGCTACTTTGCGCTAAAACATGTTTTTTGATTATGGAACTAAGATTAATC